CATATTTTCGCTGGTATAAGCAGGATATTTCAATATGGAATTTCGTCTTTATCGGATAATGGTTTGACATTTTTGTGAAACTATTTTCATTTTGAAATTTGCAAATATCAGTAACCTGAATATTTTCACTCACAAAAAAAAAACAGATCAAGGATTCCTGTTGCAGCTGTATGAAAATCAATTTTTTAAATTAGATCAAATTTCTCGATAAAAGTTAGAAAATTAGCTTCAGTCGAATTTTGCGAAGAAATGCTGCTCCAATTTATTGTTGGGAAATTGAAATCCCCATAAATAATCAAACCGTCACATTTACTTCTAAGTTTCAAAATTTCGGAAAACATCTTGTGTATATCTTCCGTATTAAGTGAAAATTTACTGTTTGCAGTGGGCAGATAACATGAGATGACCAAAATTTTTAGATTTGCTAAAGTGACATAGCACGCTACGACTGAACCGTTTGTACCAAGAAAAACAAGGGTCCCAAAATACTGCCCTGGGGTACACCGCTCGTTATTTTTTCTGAATTTGATATTTCGCCATTTACTCGTACGACTTGAGACCTTTCTGTTAGGTATGATTTGATTAATTTCAAGTTTTTATCCCTGACTCCTTGTTCGAATAATTTCCGCATTAAAATTCCGTGGTCAACACGGTCAAAAGCTTTACTATAATCTGTAAAAACTGTTTCGATACTGTCGCCATTTTCATGAGCGTTATAGACTAGCTGCAAAAATGTTAAAAGCTGAACAATGGTCGATCGGTTTTTCCGAAATCCGTACTGTGCCTTGTGGAAAATCTTTTCAAAATGTTCATATAATCGCTTGAAAATTATTCGTTCTAGAATTTTCGAGATTACTGAGAGCAGAGAAACAGGTCTGTAATTTTCAATGTCACTTTTGTCATCTTTTTTATGCAAAAGGCTAATGATGGCTTTTTTCCAACATGCGGGAAAAATACAGGTTTGAGAAATTTTTCGGAATATCTGATAGATTGAATGAGATAATGTTTCTGCATTTTTGAATAGAAAAGGAGGTAGATCGTCCGGGCCTTTGCTTTTATTTACATTCAACAGTTTGCATATTTCAAAAATATCTTGTTCTGAAAAATCGATATTTTCTAAAACTGGCTGATTTTTGTTACTGCGTTCGTTTTCGTTAAGAATTGACGACTCCACATATACTGATGCAAAAAATTTTGAAAACAAAGCTGCTTTTGAGACATCCGTATCTGCATTTTCGTTTTGATAATACATTATACTAGGCAAAACTGATTTTCGGAAAGCCCTAAAATATTTGAAAAGTTTGCCGGTTGATATTTCAGCTGCCATGGATTCCTCATAACTAACTTTATCGATTTCGACAAGCTGGTCTGTTTTCGATTTTAAAAACACTACTTTAGTATGTGACTCATTGTGTTTTTTCCGAGCAGTGTTCAAACATTTTATCATATGGGAGGTTGATTGACTAATCCAGGGGGGTAAGGATGTACGATGTTTTGTGCGTTTAGGTATCGTACTCGATAAAAGACCCAACAACCATTTGTACCAATGTTCTACTATGACATTTGGATTTGACCAGCAATAAGTATCGAAGGGGTTATCAATAATTAAATCATTCAATAATTTGTAGTCACCGTTGCAAAAACTCAATGTTGACTCCTTAACATATTTTCGCTGGTATAAGCAGGATATTTCAATATGGAATTTCGTCTTTATCGGATAATGGTTTGACATTTTTGTGAAACTATTTTCATTTTGAAATTTGCAAATATCAGTAACCTGAATATTTTCACTCACAAAAAAACAGATCAAGGATTCCTGTTGCAGCTGTATGAAAATCAATTTTTTGAATTAGATCAAATTTCTCGATAAAAGTTAGAAAATTAGCTTCAGTCGAATTTTGCGAAGAAATGCTACTCCAATTTATTGTTGGGAAATTGAAATCCCCATAAATAATCAAACCGTCACATTTACTTCTAAGTTTCAAAATTTCGGAAAACATCTTGTGTATATCTTCCGTATTAAGTGAAAATTTACTGTTTGCAGTGGGCAGATAACATGAGATGACCAAAATTTTTAGATTTGCTAAAGTGACATAGCACGCTACGACTGAACCGTTTGTATCATATCCAAAGTTTGCATTTTCTCACAAAAACGATCTCTTTACACATATCATAGTTTCTCCATGTGATGTCTGGCCAATTTTTGCTTTTCGGTCAGATCGAAAGCAATTATATTCATTTAAAAATAGTTCTGTCTCCAATATTTCAGTTGTTAACTAGGTTTCGGATAAGCAAACAATATCAGGGTTATTCAAAAGTATAAAATTTGAAAAGGTTTTTCTACGGTCCAGCTTGAAAATGCTTCTGATATTGTAACAAATTACTTCTATATCCCCTGAATTTTTCAATAGTCAGTCTGATGTGGTTTCGGCTCTGTTATTTAAAAACAAAACACCTTTCCGAATTTTGATATTTTTTGGATCACTTCCGTTAATTAATAGTTCTCTCCTTCTTTTCAGCAATTGCTGTCCTTTTTCTTGTTCATCCTTATTTAGGGATTTCGATATAAAAACAGCGTAATTCACACCCATATATCTTGGTTCATAAGTTTTCGGCATTGATGCGCGAGCTTGTATTTTGTCAACTGTATACATGTTTCTAAACTTGACTAATAACTGCCTGGGTTTTGTAAAGTTTGGGTCAAATTTATCAAGTCTACGAAATGAAGAAATTTCAATCGGATTAACACCCAATTTGTTTATGCATTCGCATAAGGCTTTTTCCTCGTGTTCAAAAATTTTAGCCCTCTCTATTTTTTTGTTTTCATTCGAACTTTTGTATTCAGGTATGCCGCTAAAACGTAGTTCAAGAGCGTATTCATTACCTGATTTAAGCACATCTGAATACTTAGCCTTTTGATTTTGAGGAGCATTTGATGCATCTGCGATTGACTGCATTACCGACTTGGCTATTTGAAGTGTATTCTTCAGCTCTTCAATACCACGAGTGATGTCCTCGTGACATTTCCCACCGCCCAGTTTTGATCCGGTAGATGAGCAACCAGTTCACATAAATTTCACATTTGCATATCGTTCCAGGAATTTGTACTCATCCACAGAGTAGCCCATACACTCACTATGAGTCCACCTCTCACATAACTCGCGCGATATCCAGTTATCACCGTTTGGCTTGCTACAGATGGTGCACATCTCATGATTCTTTGAGGCCAATCTTGACCTCATACCAGGCATATTTTATTTGAAAACAAACTATTTAATAAGCAAACAATAAATAAATTATACAAAGTTTTGGAGAATATACCCTTCTTAAAGTTTGTTGGGATATGTAAGGGGCTCACTTTGATATAAGTATGTTTGTGATCGACTGGGTATTTTTGGCGTAAATTTTATTAACTAAGAAAAGCCAAAATGACCCATTTTTGGGGTAAAAATTCCACCATATTAATTTTGCTAAAATTGCAAGCAAGTTTTGTCTTCATAAGCTTTCACCTTGACAATGGCAATACGGTTTGGGTGATTAAGATTCCATTTTCAAATCGTAGTTTTGTTGTTGCTTTTAATTATTTCTTTTTGATTTTTGAGTTTTGAGTCTTTCAATTTACTAATTTGGCGGCATATTCATGTCGAAAATGTGACAAAATTAGGTTCGGCAAAGAATAAAGTTCAAATGTCGTAGACATAGCCGGGCCCATTTGCAGGTTGCAAATTAGAAAATTGTTCGTTGAAGCTGATGGTACGTCGTCGTTGATTGTAATGGTCATCTAGTTGTTAGCTGTCGTTGATCATGTTGGTCATCTAGTTGTTACTGTGGTCCAATACTCGCGAGAGTTTGACTGCTGGTCGGTGTAGTATCCCCCTGCTAGTTTTAATTTCACAGGAGCGAACGATTCCGTCTGCACCTGGGAAAGTACGAAGTACCCGTCCCAGGGGCCAAAGACCTCGAGGCGTTAGGTTTTCCAGTATCCATACAAGGTCTCCTTGCTGAAGATTTTCCACTTGCTTTGTCCATTTCGTTCGGGTCGTCAAGGTTGGCAAGGAGTCTTTGAGGTATCTGTTCCAGTACTGTTGACTCAAGGTTTGAGCTTGTTTCCAAGTTTTCTTGTCCGTTGTGTGGCGAGAGAGAAACAATCCAGGAGGCAAATTGTTTGTTGGTCGTCCTAGTAGAAGGTGATTGGGTGTAAAGGGCTCGTCGTCGGTTGGGTCTGATGAGACGTGGGTTAGCGGGCGAGAATTCATCATAGCTTCAACCTCGCACGTGAAGGTTGACAGACTTTTGTCGTCCAGTGTCCGTGTTCCAATGACTTTGTAGAAGGCAATCTTAAATGTTTTTATGAGGCGTTCCCATGGTCCACCAAAGTGAGGAGCTGCAGGTGGGTTGAACTTCCAGGTTATTCCAAGTAATTGGTATTGATTGTTGAAGTCGTTGCTGTGTTGAATCCCAGAAAGGCTTTCCTTTAATTCCTTGTCAGCTGCAACGAAGTCTTTTCCGTTGTCAGAGAAGATGATCCTGGGTTTACCGCGTCTAGCGATGAAACGGCGTATGGCTTGTAGAGTTGAGTTTGTGTCGATTTGCTGGCATATTTCTGAATGAACTGCTCGCGTGACGAGGCAGGTGAAGAAGAGAACTTATCGCTTACTGTACTCGTCGTTGTTCCGCGTGGCAAAGGGTCCAAAGAAGTCAATTCCTGTTGAGTAGAAGGGGTAACTGTTTTCCGATAAAGGGAGTCGTTGTAGGGGTAGATCTGCCATCAGAGGCTTCACTGGTTCCTGTCAAAGGCGTCGCCAAGGTATGCATTGTCGAATAGTTTTCTTCAGATGCTTGCGTGATCTTATGATCCAAAAGTCCTGCTGAAGAATGCTTCGGGTGTGTTCCATTCCACAATGGGAATTTATTTCGTGTGTTTGCTTCATGAAGAGTTGTATTGGGTAGTTTTCTGCGTTCAGAATGACTGGATGTTGGCTGCAAAGTAGAAGCGGGGCTTACTGTAGTCGTCCTTTGGCACGCAAGTATCCGTGATCGTCGATGAAGGGGCAAAGAGGATGTAGAGGGCTGCGGGGTGGAATGTCAGATTTCTTTGTCAGGCATGCTATTTCTTTGGGGAATGATTGATTCTGTGAGTGTTTAATGATCCATGCGAATCCTAAGGTGAGGTGATGAAGTGAGAGGCTCTGGTGTGTCTTCTTTTTGATGTTTTTTGCGAAGAGAAGAACATATGAAGTAACTCTGAGTGCTCTTGTCCAAGTGCTAAATCGGTTGAAGTCGATTACTGATGTTGGCGGTTGTTGGTCGTTGTCTGTCAGATGAATATCGGCTGTAGGTTGTGTAAGCGGGTGATTAGGCCAATCTGATGATGGTCTTAACAAGAAGTCTGGTCCTTTGATCCATCGTGAATCGGTAGTCATGTCACATGCTTTGTAACCACGTGTTCCGTCGTCTGCAGGGTTGTCTTTGCTGGGCACGTATCTCCAGTCCAGTGAAGATGTTGAGTCCATGATGAAATTCAGGCGGTTGGCGATGAAGATCCGGTGTCGTTGATTCGGCGAGTTTATCCAATGAAGAACTGTTGTTCTATCTGTCCATAGTGTCGTACTGTCGATTCGTATGTCATGTTGTTCTTTGATAAAACGAGACAGTTTAGCTCCGTTAGTGGCGGCTTGAAGCTCGAGATTTGGAATTGTCATTCTGCTGATGGGTGCTACTCGGGCTTTTCCAATGACGAACTTGAGTTCCGTTGTGTTGTCGTCGTATCTGATTCTGAGGTAAGCAACTGATGCTAAGGCAAGTTCGGAGGCGTTGCTGAATACATGGAGTTGGGTTTCCAGTATCTTCGTTTCTGGTTTGAAGTAAATCCGGGGCAGGCAGATGTCGTTGAATTGGCTTCGCTTGTCTATCCAATCGTTGAGGTCTGTTAAATGCTCCATGTTTAGAGGTTTGTCCCATTGAGGTCCATTACTCCAGGCAAGTTGAAGTGATTGTCGTAGTCGAATTGTCAGTGGCATCGTAATTCCAAGCGGGTCAAAGATTGGAGAAGCAAACTTCAATAGTTTGCGCTGCGTTAAGTCCTTCTTGTCAATGGCGTGAAACTTCTTTGCTTCCACAAGAAAGACGTCCGTGTCTGGTTTCCATTTCACTGCAAGAACTCTTTCGAGGGGTCGTTCCTTCTTGGTGAGGCTGTCGCTCTTTTCCGGGTGGTTCTCGTTGACTGTTGTGAGGAATTGTTGAGAGTTTGAGGTCCATTTTGTGAGGTTGAAACCTCCAAGGCTGAACATCTTTTGAAGGTCGTTCATTAACTGTGTCGCTTCCGTCGGTGTTGAAACGGCTTTGTATAGGTCGTCCATGTATATGTTGCGTTTTGTGATTTGCTCCAAGGCTGGATATTTGTCGGCATTGTCCTTCGCACATTGTCGAGTGACGTAGCAGGCAACACATGGTGAGTCGGTAGCTCTGAAGATGTGGCGGGTGTATTGGAAGGTTGCGGGTTGGCCCGTGTTGTCCTTCCACAGAAATCGCAAATACGGCTGGTACTCTGGGCTCACGAAGACCTGCATGAACATTGCTTCAATGTCGGCAGAAATAGCGATTTGGTCCTCGCGAAATCGCATAACGATTCCAGTAGTAGGTCTGGTACAGTTAGTAGGTTGCTGTTGAGTGATACTCCTTTGTAGATGCTCGATGCATTAAGGACTCGGCGTACCTTGCCAGGTTTATTGATGTTTGTCACTGGATGATGAGGAAGGTACCATTTTCCTGTTGAGTCTTCATGAGAATCATCAATTTTGACTATGAAACCTTTCTGCAAGTCGGTGTCGATGGTCTCCTGATATTTCTGTGCTATCTCGGTGTTTCCCTTCAGTCGTTAGAGAAGGCTGTCGAGCTGCTTCTTGGCAAGCCATCTTTTGTTTGGCAGTTGTTGTCCACGTTTCCGAAGCATTCTAACTTCGTAGTGTCCATTGGGCAAGCGGGTTGTTGAAAATTCCAAGATGCGGAGAGCTTCCTTGTCGTCTGTTGAGAGGCTGCGTTGGTCAGTTGAAATCCCTTCGGCGTCCAATTTCATCCATTCAGCTACGTGGCGAAACAGTGTATCGTCTGTCGTGAAGTTGATTGTGTTGATGTCGTTGGGTGTCACTGCATTGTCTCGTCCACAGAGGGACCATCCAAGTGGCGTTTTCCATCCAAAGGGACATTTTGTTTTGAATGGATTACTTCTGAAGGTGTCACGAGTTCGGCGAAATCGCATCCAATGATGATTCCGATTTGTTTTGAGGGCAGTGTGGCTATCCGAATGTGTTGAAGTGGCTCGTTCCTTTGGCAGATGGAGTTGAGGAGTTCAGGGTTGAATTGGGAAAGGTTTCAATCCATTGTGACGTCGATGTCATTTAGTTGAAATGATTGCTTTTGCTGGTTGTAGGGTCCAATCGCGATCGTCATCTTTGTAGAAGCTGTGTCTGATGATGTCAGTGCTTGATTTAGCTGGATGGTGTCGTCTTATTGCAGATCGGGTTTGAGTTGGAGGGCGATTGATGATTTAAGCAATGTCAGTTTGCTTCCAAAATCAAGCATTGCATAGGCATGAACTCTATGTTTGCCATAAGAGATCGTTATTGGCAGGGTCGGAATGTGGCGAGTCGATTTCTTTCTGCTTATGCTGGTGCTGCAGTTGGTGGTGTCGTCATGTTGTCTGGAGTTCCGGTTGGCTGTCTCCCTCTGTGTCGTCGAGTTGTAGGTGCTGCTGTTGTGCAGAAGTGTGTGGTGTTTCTTACTGCATCCGTCCGTCCGGCAGGTTTGCGTTGATTGGCAGTCGGCGAACTTGTGGGGGCTGAGGCAGTTGAAACATAGTTGTAGGTCCCTGGCATGCTGTAATCTGTCCTTTGGGTTCATTGCGATGAAGTGTTGGCATTTTCCAAGGTACTGGCATTGCGTTTCTCCGGGCAAAAATCTCGTCGTTGATCCTTTTGTCCAGATTTATGTTGCTGCTGGCTGCGTTGCTGGTTCCGGTTGTTCTGATTGGCGCGGTGATCCGATGGTCCATGTTGGTGGGTGTGACCGTTGGATGATGATCCTTGAGTGTTGCTGCTGTTGTAGTTGTTGCTGCTGCTGCTGCTGTTTTTGGTCGAAGGAAGGATGTAACTATCTTCGTCGGGTTACCAAAGTCGTTTTCCAGTCGCTGAAGGGCTGCGTCATACTTTGCTCCATTGCATCCATATCCTCGGATGAGAGACTTGGCACCTCCGGATATAAGTTTCTGCAGATGTGTCATCTTTTCCGAGATTGTCATGTCGGTGCTGTTGATAATTGCGTTGAACAGTCCTATCCAATCTAACCATTGTTCAGGTTCTCCGTCGAATATGAATGGTTTGACATGATTTTCTGAATGTCTTCGAGATCGTTTGATGATGTTTGTGGTCTGTCGGTGCTGTTCCAAGGTTGGTCGGAATCGGAAATAAGTCGGCTGGTTCTGATGTGCTGCATGTTGATGTGCTGCATGTTGATGGACTGCATGTTGATGAGTGGGAGGTCGGTTGATATTTGGGTGAGTTGTTCCTGTTGGTCCCCTGCAGCCTGCATGAGTGAAGGCTGTTGTTGATGATGTCGGCATGTTCGTAGGGTTGTATGCTGTCGTGGTTCCCAGAAATCCTTCCTGGTACGATCGCATGACAGGTTGTGTACTTTGGTGAGTCAGGGTCGGCTGGCTGGAGGTCCAATTTGTTGCTGTTCGTTGATATCCTTGGTTTGTTGGCAGTAGTGCTGGTTGTGCTGGTATCGGTACTCCGTTGATGTTTCTGATACCCGTAGCTGTCGTCTGGTGTCCACTGAACACGTTGGTGGGGGATGATTGGTTGAATTCTGATTTCCAATCGTCAAGATGGGTCTAAAGGCGCTATTCGGAGTATGTGTCCTCTGTTGCTGACTTGGAGGCTGGTTCTGTTGTAGGCTTGAAGGCTGATATAGTCCATGTGGGGGGCTAGCTGTCTGGGGAGCAAGAATTGGGTGTGTGATTTGCTGTCCAATCATTTGACTCTGAGCTGCTTTTGAAGTTGTTGTCGGAAGAAATATTGGCGCTGAAACATTTCTTTGTTGGGTTGCTGGTGCGTTCATCTGCTGATTGAAAACTTGGATTTGAGTTCCAGGGTTGGAGTGCGGTGAAGTTTCATGAAGTTGAGCTTCTGAGTTCGGTCTTTGTCCCACTGTTGCTGTCAATTGCTGATTGTCGATTTGGAGTTGAGTTCCATTGTTCAATTCTATAGTCGTTCCTTGAAGTTGAGCTTCTGGGTGGTTCGGCTGAAGGTTCGAACTTTGTGACAAGTCGGCGTTCGGCTGCTACAGTGAGAGGTTTGACTGAGGATGGAGGTGAGTTCCATGGGCAGTTAGAGTTCCAAGAGTTTCTGTTTGTTGTTGATGAATGCGATGATCCAAGGTATTGGCGTCGCTGTTAGATCCGGGGCGAAGTAGGAGTCCTGAATTGTCCTGGGCGGAATTTGATCTGTGGTTTGAAGTAGCGTTTAAGATTGCTGGCAATCCTGAAAATTGTGGCAAATCGTCCGGGGTGTCCTGGTCCATGGTGACGTTTTGTGTAGTGGTACTACTGGTTAAACTTTCCGTTTGGCGTCGAAGGGGAAGATTTTCCAAGGCTTGTCGTATTATTGAAGGCGTCGAGACGTTGCTGGCTACTCGTGATGAGTTTAAAGAAGACGTGGCAGTGTTGTTGAGGGTACGCTAGTATCGTTTTGATCGTAGTTGGATGGTTCGGTACAAAACTTTCAAAGTTTTTTAATCGTTCAATGATTGAGTCTTGCTGGTCCGTTCCGGTGCGTATTATCTTGACTGCTTCGTTATTGGCATCGTCAAGCAAGCTCTTCAATTCCGTTAAGAAATCGTTTATGATCTGTACTTCTTCGGAATCGCTTATGGCTTGGTTAATTGCTTTTGCTAAAATTTCTACGTCTGTTTCTATGACTTTAAAAACAGCATCATAGGTTGAATTCATTTTTAATTGACTATGTCTCCTAACCTTAATTCACGTTTTGACGTGTCAGACAAAATGTAAAATGGCCAATATGTAATTCCTTTGATTGAATTGTATTGAAACAAAAAAATTTGATTTTGAGTTTTTTTTCTTTTTGAATTGTATTGAAACAAAAAAATTTGATTTTGAGTTTTTTTTTCTTTTTGGAACTTATAATCCAAAAAAAAGTAAACAATATGATTGGTTAGTATAAAGATGGGTTCGTTGATTTTTCAAACAAAAAAAAACTTTGGTTTCGGTTTTTTTGTTTTAAAAATTATTGTGCGCCAATGACAATGGCAATACGTTTTGGGTGTTTCAGATTCCAATTTCAAATCGTAGTTTTGTTGTTGCTTTTAATGATTTCTTTTTATTTTTTGAGTTTTGAGTCTTTCAATTTACTAATTTGGCGGCATATTCATGTCGAAAATGTGGCAAAATTAGGTTCGGCAAAGAATAAAGTTCAAATGTCGTAGACATACCTAAACTCAACCCAATTTGAGAAAAACGCGGTTTTACTTTCAAGCTTAGCTTGTTTTGTCCGGTTAATTTAAATCAGCACTGTAGTTTAAATAGAAATAATTTCACGCATGAAAATCTTTTTTTTTTGCATGGCTGTTCCGATCATTTAAAAAATGGGTACGAACTTTGTATTCGTATATCCTTTAGCAGAAAAAACTACACTAATTTCCTCGTTTTTTTTTATAGACCGCATTTAAATCTCTGAAGTCTCAAAAGTGCTAATAAAGATATTTCAGCGTTGGAAGTGTTAGTAATAAGAAACAGTAAAAAATCTTGCTGGCTTTTGCATATCTGCATTTTCTGCTTACAAGCGAAACAACCCATCTTAAAAGTGTCGTACGTACCATTTCGAGGCAATGGCAGACGTTCTTACCCGCCAAAATTTCCAGGTTGTCACCGATATCTTCTGGTTCTTTTCAAACAAGATGTCGAAGAATGGTCCTCCCCCCCCCCCCTTTATCATCATTTTTTTCACGCTTTGTATTTCCATCATCGTTGGCCTACTTGTCCTCTTCAAAAGCTACAATCAAGCACATCTCAGTAGATGCGTCAGGTAGTTTCGTTAATAAAGCAGAAATAACGTATGTGAGGGTGTTGAGAAGTTAGACGATCAGAAAATTAGACGGAGGCACTTAAAAGGAAATAAGACGATTTTCCAAACCTGCAACTTGACAAATAGACGAAAGTGAGAGAGGTTAAATTTGTTTGCAGACAAATTGCGTGAGAAAATTAAAATTGTTTGAAGAAACAGTTAAATTTCGGCGGCCAAAAATTTTAAATGTCGATCATGCATAATTTGTTCAATTCAAAACTCTCCTGTAATTTTCAGATTTGACATTTTATGTTCATTTAAACTAATTGTTTTGATAGTTATTGACATTTGATGTTCTTTTTGTATTTGTGAAACTTGACTCTTAAGGAAAAATGTTGTTGGCCCTTTCCTTTTCATAGCAGTGACGTCTAAAATGCCAGATCTCTAAAAAAATTAAGTCTAACTTCGTTTTTGCAGCATCCGTCTAATTTGCGTATCGTTTAACTTCCTAGGCCCTGTATGTGAGGTAGTCGCTGCTTCTCATG